CAACACACACACACACAGGCATGCTAGCATATTCAAACAACCCACTCACATCAGACCCTTCCCTCTTCACTTAAGACCTTAAGGTTTTTGAGACAAAAAATCATTTCTTTTGAGAGGGGAGAGAACTTTTTGATTTTCTTTCTGTTCGTCATATCCAAACCATTTATGTTAACAAAAAACAAAAGAAATTCATCCATAATTCTTCCCAACAAAATAAGTTGTTTGTAAGTTCCTGTCTACATGTTGTCCAACATTCGTGTCATCTTAACAATACTGTAAGTGTCAAATATCACTTGGTTCAGAATTGGAGCACAGCTAACTGCATACTGGGGTTTTTCCTGTTGCTTGTTATGGCTGTAATCTCCGACAGCTGCATACTATGCCCTGCTGATAACATACAGGTTGACCATCCCTTATCCAGAAGTCTTGGGACCAAAAGTGTTTCAGATTTTTTTCCAATTTGGGGATATTTCATGTACGTAGTGAGATATCTTGGGGGTGGGATCCAAGTCTAAACACAAAATTTATTTATGATTCATACATACCTTATACACATGGCCTGAAGGTAGTAATTTTATTCACTATTTTAAATAATTTTTCACATGAAAAAAAGTTTGTGTTAAGTAAGTACTTAGGTATTTTTGACTTGTGGTGTCAGGTTGGTGCTCATAAAGTTTCACATTTTAGAACATTTCGGATTAGGGATACTGAACCTGTAGCATCATTTTCTTAATAGTTATTCTAATATTGCACTATTTGGGTTGTTTGTGATTTTTCACTAATATGAGAGGTGCTATAGTAAAAATCCTTGTGGACAAAGCTTTTTCCTTTTGGACTATTTCTCAGTGATAGATTTCCCGAAGAGTATTACTGAGACGTTGGAGGTTATGAGTATTTTAACAATCTGATACATAATGTTAAATAATTTCTCAAAAGGACGACGATTACATTTTGTGAGTTATAAAGCATGCATTTTTCGCAAATACATTTTTCACTTTTATTTCAAAAGGAGTTGGTACATTTTGGCAAGTGACCAAAAAAGACTTAAATTTGGCTTGGTGCCGAGTATGAGACCACCCCAACCAAGCTCCAGACCACGGAGAATCCCACCACCTCACCCCCATTCCCACCTTCACCTACATCCCCCCACTCCTACGCCATCCACATTTCCAGGGAGTAGGAAGATTGTTCACAAGATCCCCGAGGATTCATACCCACCTTAAAGCCTGAGAATGAGAGTTTAGCTCAACACTTCTCAAACTTGCCCGAGACCCACAGTAAACAATACATGTTATACTTGACACCCACATACACATATGTGCTTATTTGAAACAAAAACTTCACAGAACAATGCTTACTCTTACGTAAATGAGTCCCATCAATATTTGCCATTCTACTTTATTCTAATTCTCTCTTTTCTTTTTTAATTTTGTTTTGAGACAGAATCTCGCTTTGTTGCCCAGGCTAGAGTGAGTGCCATGGCGTCAGCCCAGCTCACAGCAACCTCAAACTCCTGGGCTCAAGCAATCCTCCTGCCTCAGCCTCCCAAGTAGTTGGGACTACAGGCATGTGCCACCATGCCCGGCTAATTTTTTTTTCTATATGTATTAGTTGGCCTATTAATTTCTTTCTATTTATAGTAGAGATGGGGTCTCGCTCTTGCTCAGGCTGGTTTCGACTCCTGACCTCGAGCAATCCACCCGCCTCGGCCTCCCAGAGTGCTAGGATTACAGACGTGAGCCCCTGCCCCCGGCCCTTAGCTAACTCTTGACTAAGGTCAAGGCAGATGGCTGTACTGGGACTCTAAGTGTGAACTGGATGAGAATGCCATTGAGATATCTTGCACATCCAGTAGAATCTGATCTCAGGTGACACGAACCATTTCTTTCCTGGTCCTCAGCTAAAACCAAGCTTAGGAGTCATGCAGTTGACCAAGCAGGCCCTCGGAAGTGAGCCTAGACTCCCCAGGCTCTGATGCAGACAGGCCACACCCTTTCCCTGACTTAGACCCACCCGGAAGTGCCTCGTCCCCACTCCAGCTCCCACCTCTGCTGCCACCCAACCCAGCTCCCCGATGGTGTGGACCCCCTCCTTTACCGGAGCTGCTTGTGGGGACCAGGAGGCCGGAAATCGCATGGTGCAGGCCGGCTGGGTGCTCCAGGCTGGGCGTGACCCCGTACAGAACCAAGTGCAGGTCCTTCTCAGTGAAGTGAAAAGGACCAGGCGACTTTTCCTTTTCCGTCTATAAAGTGGCTCAATTGACCATCTTCAAAGATCTAAATGAAATAAGACATGAATTTGCATTGTACTTTTCTTTTGGCTAACCTATACTTTTATTAAAATGTATAACCCAAATCTCACACTCGAGTCCACCAAATACATTTCCACATTGTTACAAGTAGCATATAAATCTACGTAAGCCTATGTAGATTTACTAGCTTAAAGACATCTCTGTAGATGATGTGACATATTCATATTTCTAAAGATTCTTACTTTTTATCATTTTCTTGATTCACAAATTTCTCTAGTGAGCATGTTAATTTCATAAGCAGAGGTTTAGAAAAATAAAGAGGTTATATTTAATTCCACAATTTAAAGACAACCAATTAGTTTTATATTTTATCCCTGCTAAGTTTTGAAGCACATTGATAGATCCATAATTTATTTCTTTTATATATATATATTTAAAGACTTTTACTTCTTTTTTTTTCTTTATTTTTGAACACCTGATGTCAGACATAATTTATTTCTTTTTATGCTGCTGATAATTTCACTGTCTCCAGTGTTCAGTTATGATAAACAACCTCGGGATTAGCATCTTTCACATAGCCTGGATTTCAGATTCTTTCCCTAAACTATATTCCTAGAAGTAGAAATTCAGGGTCAAGGGATTTTGGATATTTTCAGGTATCTGATACATTCTGACTAATAGTTTTCTCCTGCTTGTAATAAACTGCAGTCCCACCAGCATGTGCCTGTACACTATCACTAGAACTTGAGTATCAGTTTTTAGAATCCTTGACTAGCTTTACAGGTGAATAATATTGAATTTTAAAGTTTGTTTATTTTAATTTCCTTTAGCATACTTTCAGATCCTATGATATTTAAAGCATTTGGTTTTATCTGCAAGTGTAACACAATGTATTAATTATTATTTTTTTTTTTGAGACAGAGTCTTGATTTGTTGCCCAGGCTAGAGTGAGTGCTGTGGCGTCAGCCTAGCTCACAGCAACCTCAAACTCCTGGGCTCAAGCAATCCTCCTGCCTCAGTCTCCCGAGTAGCTGGGACTACAGGCATGCACCACCATGCCCAGCTAATTTTTTCTATGTATATTAGTTGGCCAATTAATTTCTTTCTATTTATAGTAGAGACGGGGTCTCACTCTTGCTCAGGCTGGTTTGGAACTCCTGACCTGGAGCAATCTGCCCACCTCGGCCTCCCAGAGTGCTAGGATTACAGGCGTGAGGCACCCAGCCCAGCCAACAATGTATTCATTCCCTAAATGTATATTCCATGGCTGATCTCCAGACTAAAATGACATAAGGCACCACAAACATATAGAATTCATGCTATGCTTCCAGAGTGAACACCCACCGTCCCCTTCCTTTACAGGCCACGCAAACAGCAGCTATCTGCCCACGTGTCTCCTCTCCCTGACCAGGACTCTCCCAGAGCAGCAAAAGCCAAGATTTCCCCAGCCAATCTCCCTTCCCATTCTCAGCAGATCCACCAAAGCATACTTACCTCCCACATCAGAGAATTGTCTCCATAGGTCTTGACTTCACTGGTGTTGACCACTTTACCTTGAAAAGGCCCAAACCTCATTCCTTTGGCAATAAAACTACTGCAGAACACGCCAAAGTGTGGCACTTCACCAAACATGGTCTTCATGAGGCAGAGACCTAGGAGAAACCCAGGGCAGGAAAAGAGAATGAGGAAAGTGACCTTGCATTAATTCAGAGAAAGAGATCAAGCAAGGAGTCCTGCCTACCTTCTGGAAGTTGTAGGGAGTCTTTATCCACAGTGTGAGATAGAGAATTAGACCCTAGGAAAAGGCAGGGTTAAGTTTTTTTTTCATTAAAAATGTATCATGAAACGTTTTTATAAGGCATTTTCCACCTCAACTCCCTAAAGGTAACCATCATCCTGAGTTTGACATTTATCTGTTCTTTATTATTTTTCCTGCTTCTTTTTACATGAGCTTCTCATATACAATTTCATCTAAAACTAGTCTCATTTGGGACTCAGAACAACCTTTTGCAAGGATGTGTAATTAACTCTACTTAGAAAATTTAAGAAACTGGAGAATCAGAGCTAATTCTTTTTTGTTTTTTTGAGACAGAGTCTCGCTTTGTTTCCCAGGCTAGAGTGAGTGCCATGGCGTCAGACTAGCTCACAGCAACCTCAAACTCCTGGGCTCAAGCAATCCTCCTGCCTCAGCCTCCCAAGTACCTGGGACTACAGGCATGTGCCACCATGCCCGGCTAATTTTTTCTATATATATTAGTTGGCCAATTAATTTCTTTCTATTTATAGTAGAGATGGGGTCTCACTCTTGCTCAGGCTGGCTTCGACTCCTGACCTCCAGCAATCCACCCCCCTCGGCCTCCCAGAGTGCTAGGATTACAGACGTGAGCCCCCACCCCTGGCCCTTAGCTAACTCTTGACTAAGGTCAAGGCAGATGGCTGTACTGGGACTCTAAGTGTGAACTGGATGAGAATGCCATTGAGATATCTTGCACATCCAGTAGAATCTGATCTCAGGTGACACGAACCATTTCTTTCCTGGTCCTCAGCTAAAACCAAGCTTAGGAGTCATGCAGTTGACCAAGCAGGCCCTCAGAAGTGAGCCTAGACTCCCCAGGCTCTGATGCAGACAGGCCACACCCTTTCCCTGACTTAGACCCACCCGGAAGTGCCTCGTCAACACTCCTGCTCCCACCTCTGCTGCCACCCAACCCAGCTCCCCGATGGTGTGGACCCCCTCCTTTACCGGAGCTGCTCGTGGGGACCAGGAGGCCGGAAATCGCATGGTGCAGGCCGGCTGGGTGCTCCAGGCTGGGCGTGACCCCGTACAGAACCAAGTGCAGGTCCTTCTCAGTGAAGTGAAAAGGACCAGGCGACTTTCCCTCTTGGTTGGAGGATCCGGGATCATCCTCAGGCCGCTGGCTGGATGAGCAAGATAATGACTGGGAGGTCGTCTTCAGCCCCTCAGGTAACCCGGACGCATCCACAGGAGCCGTCGAAATTAAGGTTTCAGATCCGCACCACTGGGCGCTGTCGCCGCGGCCACCAACGGGACCCGAATCTCCGCTGCTGGCACCCACGACCTCGTGGCTGCTGTTCAGGAAGTGTGGAAACTCCCTGGGGAGCTGGGAAAACGGGTAAAAGGGCGGCTGCTTGGCGTACCAGGACACATCGTAGAGCGGCTCCCTCTGCAGGGGAGCCAGGCCGGGGTTCAGCACGGGAGGTGCCATCCGATAGGCGAAGGGGGGCATGGCAGGGGCAGCTGACACCGCGGCCTCCGGTGGCCAGAAGGGTTGGAAACCCTCTTCCTTGCTGGCTACCGTGCTTCTGTAGTGGCCATAGGTCGTGAGATGCGTGTAGTAAGCAGCCAGCAGCTGGGGGTTGCTGTCGGGCAGGTAGCACACCTTGTCCTGAGGCCCGGCCTCACCTGGCCCGGGTAGAGCCATCCCAGCCACCGCGCCGGGCCGCTCTGCGGAAAAGCAGGGACACTGTGGGGTCACGCCGGCCTCCTCCTCCTCCCCAGCCAGCCCCAGGTGGAAGGGAACTGGATAAACTTCCCAATTCCATCCCGCAAGCCCCATCCCACAATAAAAACAAAACAAAGAAATAAAAACAAACAGAAAAAGCCCCAAACGAAAATCTGCCAGGATCCCGCCCGACTCCGAGTTCCTGGTTACTGTCGCCTTCGCCTTCCCTCCCCGAGCACACCTTGACCACGCGCGGCTGGGTCCCAACACCCGATCTCTACATTCGGCCCCCAACCCGGTTCCCGCAAAACCCCATTTCAAGCTCCCTCTCCCTCCTTCTCGGTCGGACAAAGCTCGTCTACCGGCTCGGGCCGGGGCCAGCAGCCGAGGGCCCGGCGGTCGCAGGGCTACCAAGAAGGGCCCCCAGCAAGGAGGAAAGCGCCGAGGGCCCGAGGTCGGCCTGCGCAGCTGGAGACGCGCCCCGTGAGCCCCCGCGTGGCTCCCCGCAGCCCGCGCCCGGCTCCGAGCCCGGGTCCCACTCCGCGAGCCTTCGTGGTCCCGGCTGCCAGTAGCCGAGGGACCCGCCACCAGTCCCGCTTCCCACGCGGGCCAGTCCTGCCTCATCCCCCAAGTCCCTCGAAGCACCAGTCATCACGGCGGGGGGTTAGGATTGGGGTCGCCTCTTGCAGGCCGGCGAGGGCGGGCCCCAGGCCAGGTGGGAGAGAAAAGCCTTGGCGGCCGGCGGCCCTCCCCCGCGTCGCCGTCGCTGCGCAGAAAGGGTGGCGTTTTAATGGATGCGCAGCAAGTTCACCCAGGCTGAGGAATGAAGCCCCCCTTCAGGGACCCCGGGTCTTGAGGACGAGATCAATGAGCCCAGTAAGGAAACCAAGCAGGGTCGTGACTCAGAAATTAAAGAACACGGGGTCAGGAGAAGAGGTCAGCCACGACGTGGGCATCTGCCAGTCTCCTCTCGAGCCTCCAAAGGCGCCCTGCTCCTGGCCTTCTCCGACCCCACGAATCTGCAACCTGGGTTTGAGAGCCACTTACGGAGTAAAAGCCCCAGAAGGCAAAATAACCACCCAAAACGAACTGCGCCAGCGCGAGCTGCCCGCGCTTCCCGCCACCCTGGAAGAAGACGGGCCCGGGGCCTGGGCGCGCTCCCCGCCTGGCACTTACCTTCAGGCACCCACGCCAGCGCGCTGCGGCCGAACCCGCGCCTCCAGGACCCTGCGGGGCCACGCGGGCTCGGGACTCGTAGGCTTCGGTTGGGCCCCGAGGGCTGAGCCGGGTTTAAGAGGGCGGGCGGGGCTGCAGGGCACCCGGAGCGCGAGGGTGGGGAAGGGACCCGTCCCACCGAGGTCCCCTGGTCCGTCTTCTCCCCGCCCACCGCAGCCATTGGCCGACGCTCGACTCGCCCCCAGTCCCCTGGGGTCGCGCACTTAACTCATCAGTTCTCCAGACCCTCTCGGGCCCTCGATGCGGAGCGCTCGCTGCCGGCCTGCCAGGGCGGGCGCCGCCGCCGCTCCAGGCTTGCGGAGCCCGGGAGCGCAGGGCTGGGCACGTGTGCTAGCTAGGGTCCCCAGACCAGCCCCTCCACGCGCGCCCTCCCTGAACAGGGGCCCGCACGGCCGGGACTCGCGTCCGGAGGTCGAGCTCCTGCCTCTCGGCTTCCCTTTCGGCTTCCAGGAGCCGAGCTTGCCCGAGGGCGGCGTCACACCCGCCCTGGGACCAGGTGGGCGTTTGTCCCTGACACCTGGTGAGGAGCCGGGTGCCGCCCTGAGGCTCGGAAGCGGCGCCCCGCGGTCCCGGGTGGGTGCATCTGGGCGCCGTGGGCCCGACGCCTCCGAGGTTTCGGGTGGGAGTTCTGCCCTCTCAGGGGCTTTTCCTCCTTACATGGGTCTCGGCCTCCGAGGACCGGCCTCCTGCGCCGCCACCAGCTGTCACTTCCCGGGGGAAGGTTGGAGACCTTGGGCACGCGGCCCTCGGAAAGCCGAGGTCCAGACCCTTACCGGAAGCTCAAAGACCGCATTTTTATTCTCTGGATGGGCCATTGAGGGAGAGGAAGGAGCGCTCAGTCCCATTCACATTCACAGAGCAGCGCCGAGGGTGGGGAAGCCGTGTTCTGCGGCCGAAGGTGGCGAGCGGCGAGCTCGGGGCGCGGCCGCGGGGTAAAGGAAGAGGCGCAGAGCCGCACGCCCGGCCCGCCGGGGCTCGGTGGAGACAGGGCGGGAGCGGACCTCCGCCGGCTGCGAGATGCCGCCTACGTTCCCGAAGCTGGCAGGGGAGGGAGGCTGGCGGCCGAGCGCGCCCACGTCTGCCACCTCCCCTACCGTTCTGAGCCGTGGTGGCCGGGCGGGCGCCCCCTTCTCCGGCCCCGGGACCCGACCCTGCAGCGTTAGCCCGCCGCGGCGGGGCCGGAGGAGGGAGCTGGACTCTGAGGCTTGGGAGGGCGCGGGCGGTGGCACCCCGCCGCCTCTCTCCGCGCCCACTTGCAGCCCCGGGTCGCGCCCGGTCACCTCGCCCTCCGGCACCGCGCGCCATCGGGCGGGCCGAGCTGTCTGGGTCCAGCCCCGTCGCGTGGTCGCGAGGGGGCTCCGAGACGAGAGGTGGCACGTATTTTCTCAACCGAAATGAGCTAAGGAGCCCAGGGTTTCCTCTTCCCTTTTTGCCTTGAGATGGTGAGATCTTGGCCAACAGGTCGAAGAAGGGAGCGGTACCCGTCGAAGCCAGTCCCGAGCGCCAGGCACCTCTGGGGGAAGAATCATTTACTTGGAAAAGCAGAATAAACTCTGCTGTCGGCTTCCTTCCGGAGGCATGCTTACCCCGGGACTCCCACGACCCAATTCCATTTTCTTCCTTCCTCCCGGACCTCACCGGCAGGATTTAAAAAAGGGGCGAGCACGCACGTCTGGTCCATGGCTGTTAAGTCCGCACGAGGCCAGTTTAGCGTACTCAAGGGTTGTGGTTTTATTTTAGCAGAAGCAACATGAACCTCATCTTAGAGATTTGTTCTGCAAAGAAACCAGAGTTTCGTTTCTTGCAGAGCAAAATATATTTTAAAACATTTTTAAAAATTATAAGACTTGCTTGTTTAAGTAGCTTCAAGAAATAGGTGAAAAAAAAGTGGAAGACCTTGCTCTGACCCATCCCCCCTCTAGGGAAGTAGTCTTAATTAACAGTTTGGTTCACTCTCTACTTCCATTCCTTTTTAAAAAAAAATACTATATTTTTAAATTGTATCAGATTATGTAAGATTTTTTAAAAAAAAAACAAAGTGGAATTATACTTAATATTTGTCTGCAACTTTCTCACTTAATATCTACTGGTCAGCAGTTCCCTGTCAGCATATTAGGATTAACTTTATTCCTTATAATGGTTGTATGATACAGAATTTCACTTTATAAGTGAGCCTTTAGCTTATCAGCCTCCCCTTGAAAGATATTTAAATATTGCCAGTTTTTCAACTTTGAGCAAACTTCTGGGAACACTGTTACACAGAAACATATTTGTGCCACTGTGCCTTGCAGAAAAAAATGCCGGGGTGTGAAACTGCTGGGTAACAGGCATAAACACCGAACACTTCAACAAGTACTTCAAACCATACCAGTTTATACCTCTTCCAGCAATGCGTGCAAGTGCTCTGTGTCTCCATGCCCTCGCCTAAATCCTGGATATTGCCGACTTTTTTTTTTAAAGCTGCCCATCTTTCATATGAAAAGTGAAAAGTGGTATCTTATTCTAATTTGCCGTTAGTCATTTACATAACAAAAATTTTTAACTACCTACCTATTGATGGGCCAGGCACCAAGCCAGGGACAGGAAATACAATTGTGAGTGAAGCAGCCTTGGAGCCCGTAGCAGTCTAACAAGGGAGATCTGCAAGTGTGTAAATACTTGATGAATGTGTCCCTACGAACTCTGGTACAGGATAAACTTGCAGTGGAAGAGAAAAGGTGCATGCCCCAACCTAGGCTAGGAGGACAGGAGGGTTCTCCTGACCTATAAAATTGGAAAAATCTGTGGAAATTAACGCAGAAAAGGGAATGAAGGCAAGCGGTATTACAAGCCAGGAGACACTGAGCCTGGGAGGAGCTTGGCTGATTCACCAAAGAACTGCAGTGGAGGAGACGCTTGTTGGAGGTTGGAGTCAGCAGTTACCAGGTCTGGCAGGGGGACATTTGTTAAGATGAAGTATCATCCTTATATCTGTACTTGCAAGTTTTCATGGAAGGAGTAGTAGGAAGCCACTGCAGACACAAGTATATTTATCCCTCAAGAACTTTAGCATGCATATCATTAACAAACAGCATTTGTTTATGGTTCTTTTGTTTTAAAGGTAAAATTGACATAATATGAAATGAACAAAGCTGTACCATAAATTTTTTTTAATTTTTTTTTTTTTTTTTGAGACAGAGTCTCAACTCTATCACCCTGAGTAGAGTGCCATGGCATCAGCCTAGCTCACAGAACCTCAAACTACTGGGCTCAAATGATCTTACTATCTCAGCCTCCCAAGAAGCTGGGATTACAGGCATGTGCCACCATGCCCAGCTAAATATATATATATATTCCAGCTAATTTCTTTTCTATTTACTTTTTAGTAGAGATGGGGTCTCGCTCTTGCTCAGGCTGGTCTCGAACTCCTGAGCTCAAACAATCCTTCCGCCTCTGTCTCACAGACTGCTAGGATTAAAGGCATAAGCCACGGTGTCCTGCCTGTACCATAAATTTTGACAGATGCATAAACCAGTGTAGCCTCAATCCCTATCAAAATATAGAATACAACACCCCAGAAAGTCCTTCAAACCCCCTCCTGAGTAATCCCTGACCCCCCCCCAACAACTGTTCTGGTTTTTCTTCCCCCACAGTTGGGGCTTTGCCTGTTCTCTAACTTTATATAAATGGAATCCCATGGCATGTGCTCTTTAGTGCCCTGTCAGAGGCTCAGCTCTGTGATAGGGGAGTTTTTGGTGCACCCC